TCTTCGCCGATTAAGAATATATTGCGTCAGTTTACATAGCACAATTGCTTGACAAACGAACTTGTAATTGCAAAGGATAAAATTATCACAAATATATCCTAATTGGTTCACACAGATTCTAAACGTAACAAGCTATAAATGTTCTAACTACCGGTAGTTTCAAATTCATAAACAATTTCTAAATATAATGAACTAAAATCAGTTAAAGTTCAAGTTAAACTATTTTGGATTCATTCAATATGGTTTTGGCTTCGTCGTACGTATTTAAAGAGGTTACCTGTAAAATAAACCATGCATAAGGTGTTCCCCTGACCCCTATATCCATTATAAACTAATATAAAATACAACAATTATATTTGTATATTTACTATATGACATAACTACTAATAAATGCTTAAAACCAATCCACGCACACAACGTATTTTCCTCTTCCCTGGAACGTAAAACAAACAAAATTTTTAAAACATTTAATGTTTTGAGTGATGTTATTAACAATTAGGGTATGTTTACCATGTTTGTTCTGTCAATGATGTTACTATGCGTTCGACGATTACGATAGTAGGCTACATTCAAATTCTATAACTTATCCATTACCAACGATTAATAGGTATTAAAAAATATACATTCAAAATAGCTAGAAAACTCTTTAGTCATGTCCTATACAGTAGTTGTATTCGAGGCCAGTGTATTGAAAACTGTCAGATATTAATTTTGATAGTGTTGAAAACTCAAAGGGATGAATACTAGCATTGACTTTATATCTACACAAGTAGGTATAAAGTCAATGATACTAGTAATAACGAGTCCAAATAGACGTTAAGTTAATTTAGTTACATGCGAACCGTAAGAATATTTTCATCCCACGCTTGTTGTTGTCACCATTCTTTTTATAGTTTTCCTTTACTGGTCTTACTCCCACTTCATTCCTTTTATAGACTTTAAGTAAATGGATTACATCAATTCTCTACGAGGTTCGACAACAAGCTTCAGCGTGGGCGCCTTTTAGGCTGTGGTTTCCTAGACGCGTAATAGATGCGCTGCGTGTGCGCATCTAAGACGCAGCACACTTGTCTTATGGAGTTTCGTGTAAGCGGTTTCCAAGGCTGCGTATCTAAAGCGCGCGCATCTAATACGCGCGCACCAATAGCTGCGTATTTGACCGACTGCTTTCAGAGCAGTCAAATCTGAGTTGCGCTGCGTTTTAGACATTTCTTGTGCAATGGATTTGGAAGTAAATGTTGTCCAGATGGCAAAATTCTCCACCAACAACGCAAAATATATTGAATTTGTCTATTGAAATAACATACTATTGAAGTAGGCCTACGTTGTTCATAAAATTAAAATTTTTATAGTATTACATTCCATATCATTCGTTATGTAGTGTTAATTTTCCCATAATGTGTAATTTTAATATTTAATTCCCTTATTAAATGTTCCCTACAATTAATTTGTCCTCACATATTTCTAATTTGTAAATAAACCTAATGTTGACAAATATTCTTCTCAAGTCAGCACAACACCATCTCCCAAATATAAGAGACCCCATAATTATTTTGAGAACCCCTGAACATCTTAGAATTAAGCCTATATTAATTACTAGCATAGTACCCGTCCTTCTTATGGGGTTGGCGTATAAGTATAAAATGCTTATTGCAGTTATACTCGTAAATAATATACTATTTCGTCAATTCGGTAAATTCCGAATAGGTAGGCCAAAATATAGTAACAGGCAACAGGTAAAGCAAAGTTGGAGAGGTTTAATTAAAATTTATTGTTTACATTTTAAATTGACATTTTTGCTTTAATACTACGGTCAAAACTTCCGCTAGGGCAACGTACAGTTCCTAATCATATACTTTTCACTGCTTACGCTTCTTCGAAACTGTCAATACCAAAGTATACATTTCATTATCTAAATCATCGTATAACATCATAGTAGCCACTAGTAATCTCTCCCGTGAACTTATATTACGCACCAACCGTGTGGATTGTACGCAGTCTAGGAAACCACTCACGGCAGCTGCGTTTTGGGGCCTGGATAAAAGCCGCAGCGCATCTAAACCGCTGCGCATCTATTATGCGTCTAGGAAACCACAGCCTTACCTCTCGCCCTTAACAAGGTATAAATAATGCAGCAAAGACAACTTCCATTATCTCAACTGACAGGTAAAATTAACTTTATCTCGTTCAAGTTTGTTAATTATATATGAGAGTAAAACAATGTTTTAATCATTTATCGTTAAATGCTTGCCGTTTGTTGTCTGTCCTACATTATATACATAATTTGTAGACAATCATTGGTTTTTATGTATGACTAGCTGTGTGCCCGTTCTACGCACGGGGATCTTATAGTAGTCAGTTGAAACCTTCTTATATTAAGATTAAGAACAGCAGTTAGTTATATTTGCAGATATGCTGGCAAAACTATTATATATAAACCTTCGCAAATACAGTATCTGACAGTTCAAGCCAAAATAAATGCTTCGCAATTAAATGTCACCCGGATCGTTATGGTCCATATGTCCAATGATTAAACTAAAAAATGTTTTATAGATCCATGAAGCGTAGCCCTAAAGTAGGCCTATAATTGAAAGTTACTTTCCACATCGGTTAACTTAAACGTATTTAAAGTACTACCTCAACCTCACCATTTAACACTTTATTCCGGTTTGACATTTTCAGTATCAAAGGTGCTCTTGTCCATTCCGTGAAACACTGAGAAATAAGGACATTAATGCGTTACCAACAGACATACACACAACAATCCAAAAAAGGCCACGAACTATTGATACATAAACAATATAAAGGCGTAAACAATTCATGACGGTTTGCCCAACAAATGTTTTACTCAAATAGGTTATCATTTTCTTAGCATACCGGGTAAGCTAAGATTTGGAATCCAGACAGAAAAAGCAAAACTTATACAGAGTTAAGACATCACTTAAATTGAATACGGACGGCTCTAATAAATAAGGTGCAACACCAACGATAACTAATTTGTAAACTACAGTGATGTGTTGGTGATGTGTTGGTAAAAATGATTCCAGCAGCTACCAACGGTTCTAAGGAAAAGAACCAGTACCTACGTAAGAACCTACCTAAGAACTATAGTACATCCGACCAATTAAATACATTAATATCTAGTCGCGAAGTTATTGATCTCTTGCTTTTGGATTTTCTCGTAAAAAGTTATAGCGTAAACTTATCTGTGTCAGTTTGAAAAAAAAAACAACCTTACCCAAACAACTTTTTGTTATTTAATAGGTTACGCATTCTCTAAACAATGATTAGTATATCTATTAAAATTAGAAGGAAATGTGACGAAAATCACACAATGTTGGTGTTTTGGTCATTTGTAATTATATTTCTTAAGTAGGTAGGCCATGTATTCTATGGAAAAGTACCGGTATCAAGGATCGTCGTCAAAAAGGTTGTTATGAATAAATATGTAGGCTTACGTACCCAAGATATGAGCAATGGGCCTATTGGCTGTATGGTCCAGCGATTGCATCACACGGTGAGTAGAAACAGAAAGTGACACATTGGAAAAGCGAGTTTAGCACTTCCTCTGTTAAACCTATGTTACAATCCACTGCAGTTGTGATTTTTTACTTTACACTTTACACAACCGCCATTGAAGCGCCGTCAATGAGTGGAAACCTTTTTTGTAAGCTATTGGCGACTATCATTTCAGTGTCCAGCCCTATACAACACTGATTCAAGGTCTTCTTTCTGGTTGTCAAAACTCAAGAAACATTTTATACTCAAAGAATTTCTGGTTCCGATTTGGACGATGTCTAGTTATTTAATTTCATTTACGGTTACACTATTAGACTATATTATTGCACTTGCGATTAATTAAATCCGTTATGTAAGAAAAACGTTTTTAATCTCACTTGGTTGGGATTTGCTTTCAAAACGTGATTCGAAATATTTGCGGTAGGCTATTTGTAAACAACATTTGTAAACATATCATTGACAGCTAGAAAAAATAATCTTGATCCGAACAGCTGTTCGTTATTTCATAGACGATTATGTGATAAAAATTGAACGAAAATTTGACAAAAATCGCACAAAACTGCATTTTTGAACGTCCGTAATTTTATTTACAAAGTAGTGAGGCTATATTTAAATCACTAAAGACACTCTCGCCAATCCAGTGAATACATTAAAATGACTTGGATCTTGATAGGTACTCTGGTTTTCACGGAGAAGATTGCGTAAAATGCCATCTTGAGTGTTACAGACAAAGGGAAAGACAGACAGACAGACAGACAGACAGACAGAAATAGAGATAAGACTCGTTTCTGCTTCTTTAATGTATAAAACGTAAAAATAACCTAAAAGTATATAATTCTGAGCAAAGTACAGACAAAACTCTAATTTTATTTATATAGATAGATAGAAAACTTATTACGTAGTTTTTTTTTTTTAACTTGATACTGTATTAGCAATCAGGTGTTCATTTTATGTAGGTGAAATGATTAAATCATGAATATTTGTACAAAGTAGGTCCTATGTATAGTCGAATAACATACATACTGTAACGTATATTCGTATCAAGTATGTACATTTATTTGTATTCGTATTTCGTTTCTACTTACGTTCATGTAAAGTATGTAAATTCGTATAAAGAGTGTGTATTCTTGAAATCTATGTAAGTTTGAGTGACATTTATTTATAAGTTGCTAAGTTGCTGTCTGGAACTTATTCTACAATATATCAGAGACCAAACACACTGTACCCTTATATCTATGTATATTTATCCATCACAATACTCTATCATACATTCTATCTTTACGATACCGGATCGGTCAATAACCATTAATACATTAATCAATGCACCGGCTGATAATAATTCGTTGTTCTTTGTTTCTCCTCAAGCGTCACTGAAGCGCACGGGCGTGCAGTGCACGCGTGCTACGTGGGTGTGTGTGCGTGTGTGAGAGAGAGATGGCATTGATCCTGGCTACATCCAAGGACGGCCATTCAACCTAAGCTTATTTCTCTTTACGGTGACTTCCAGTGAGCGGCGGGTGGGTTGAGCGGTGGGTGGGTTGAGTGGTGGGTGGGTTGAGCGGCGGGCGGGTTGAGTGGTGGGTGGGTTGAGTGGTGGGTGGGTTGAGCGGCGGGTGGGCTGAGCGGTGGGTGGGTTGAGGGGCGGGTGGGTTGAGCGGCGGGTGGGTTGAGCGGCGGGTGGGTTGAGCGGCGGGTGGGCTGAGCGGTGGGTGGGTTGAGCGGCGGGTGGGTTGAGTGGTGGGTGGGCTGAGCGGTGGGTGGGTTGAGTGGTGGGTGGGTTGAGTGGTGGGTGGGTTGAGTGGTGGGTGAGTTGAGCGGCGGGCGGGTTGAGTGGTGGGTGGGTTGAGCGGTGGGTGGGTTGAGCGGCGGGTGGGTTGAGCGGCGGGTGTGTTGAGCGGCGGGTGGGCTGAGCGGTGAATGGGTTGAGCGGCGGGTGGGTTGAGCGGTGGGTGGGTTGAGCGGTGGGTGGGCTGAGCGGTGGGTGGTTTGAGCGGCTGGTGGGTTGAGCGGTGGGTGGGTTGAGCGGCGGGTGGGTTGAGCGGCGGGTGGGTTGAGTGGCGGGTGGGTTGAGTGGTGGGTGGGCTGAGCGGTGGGTGGTTTGAGCGGCTGGTGGGTTGAGCGGCGGGTGGGTTGAGCGGCGGGTGGGTTGAGTGGCGGGTGGGTTGAGTGGTGGGTGGGTTGAGCGGCGGGTGGGTTGAGTGGCGGGGGGCTGAGCGGCGGGTGGGTTGAGTGGCGGGGGGGCTGAGCGGCGGGTGGGTTGAGCGGCGGGGGGCTAAGCGGTGGGTGGGTTGAGCGGCGGGTGGGTTGAGCGGTGGGTGGGTTGAGCGGCGGGTGGGTTGAGCGGCGGGGGGCTGAGCGGTGGGTGGGTTAAGTGGCGGGTGGGTTGAGTGGCAGGGGGGGGGGCTGAGCGGCGGGGGGGGGGGGGGGGCTGAACGGCGGGTGGGTTGAGCGGCGACTCTCAGATAAACGAGGGTGAAGTGATTAGCCAGGTTTACAACCCTTCCTGTGAGCGGCGGATTCCTTTGTCACCTTACTTTATACTTTTTATTGAAATGGCGACCATACAAAGTAGGTATTTTAAGCCAAGTATGGAATGGAGATGAGTGTAGGATGATCTTGTAGTCTTGTTAGTGACTAAGGCCGACATATTCCTTAGACACAGCTGTGCACACCCTCTTTCTCTACCTTCGTTTGCACACTTTACCACTGGCTTTATTAAATAGATTGTTTGTTTCATCCTATTTTATAAACATCGCACCATATTATGGATTCGGACTCTGTCACGTGACGAACCCAAACCCTTAATGAAATAAGACGAAGAACTAAATAGGTTAGGTTCGTGGATAGGTTAGGTTAGGCACGTATGGCTTTGAGGTTATGAGTAGTAATAGTAATTGTTAGTTTTTTAGTCGGTGGGAATATTTAAGGATTTGTACAGTTTTTGTATATTGTTAAGTTAGCTTAGATAGTGATAGTATGGCGTAATAGAAGGCTCGTAGGAGTGTTGTATATCGTTGGGCTCGTACCTTAATGTTCTACTCGTGTTCGTGTCGCACTATTTACGCGAGTTGCGTACACTACTTTTAGTCCAGGCAACGAAAGGATATAGAGGGAAATGTTTGGAACACAATTTCTGACTTTGTAACTTTGTTTAGTATAGTTAGGAGGTTAACATACCAAAAGTCCCCGCCTCTAGCCCTTGTGCTATGGGGGAGGGGGGGGGGGGGCTTGAAGGTACCATTTTTTGGTTTTTCGCTAATATCTCGGAAACCATGCGTCCAAGTGAAATTATGCTAATATACAAAATGAAAGCCTATTAAATTTCCAGCAAGTTTGTAATTTACTATTTTTCGATATCTTGTATAGTTTTCGTGTTATTTGCTATCAAAAGTTTGTAAATTTGGAAAAATACATTTTTTTCTCATGTTTTTTTTTCTTTTTGACAAGTTGCCTCTCAAACTATGCACCCAAAAAATAAATGCTGGGCATAGGGTTGTAGAAAATTAAATTCTCTTCAATAATATATATGACTTTACTAGTTTACCTCCTTCCGTTCAGATTTAAAAGCAAATTAACCGTCAGTATAAAAAAATTTAAAGTTAATTAAAAATTTTAGAAAATTAAAATCTAGTGTTGAGCAAGGAATTTGAAGTCTTGCAACAGCTGTTGACTACTTAATATTTCAATTTATCACCTTACACAGTCAACTAATTGGTTGGAATATTCACTATCAAGTAGCTAAGGTGAGTGATGGGCGTCTAAAAATAGCACAGATACCCTATAGAAAATATGCACTTGTGGGCTGCCTAACCAGCTTCCTCACACTTGATGATCTAGCTAGACTATTGTAATGGGAAAATATGATGTTATAACCATGTTTATGCATATAAAAGTGTCTATATGACACTGGAAACCAATCACAACAATAAAATTGAAACCAAGACAATTGACATATTTAAGTAGGAGTTAACATAAAACATTACATTAGTGAGTAGCCTTAGCCTACTATTGAATCAATTGATCCTTGCTATCTTAGTTTTTGGAAAGGACTACCATCCTCATAATTGTTTTTATCCTCTTATTCTCTAAGAAAGAAGGTAAGGGACATCTTTTTCTCGCACCATAAACTATCTTAACAAGGATTAGATGATATTTTGAACGCGATTCTACTGGATGTGACAAAAAATCTTTAGCATTTGAGAAAAGCAAGGTTGCTTATGCGAAGTTGTATCTGAATTCCCCAGTGGCCCAAAATGCATCATCGGTCTTTCACGCCCCCTCTCCAACACCACCCAAATACAAAAGGTAGGGAAAATGTACATCTTGATTTGATATGGGCTTCAGCGAGAGAGGTATCGTGCACTTCAACTTCAATCTATACAGGTACAAGTCAATTTTTAAATCGACGGTCTCCATCAAGCCTAATATCTCTTGTCTTCCTCCGACTAATGGTGCTTTCAAACATCGTTTCTTATCATGTACATTCCAAAAGGTTCAGCTGTGGCTGGGAAATAACCTGCCTTCTCTTATGTAAGAGTAGAAAAAAATAATAAAAACTCTGTAGTAGCAGAGCACACCCAGCATGAAACTTCACTGAAGGATATTCTCAAAATTGATTTCTGCCTGTGCACATAAAACTGTACTCGTGCAAAATCAGGGGGCAAAAAAGCAAGCCTAAAATAAGTATGCCAAAAATGTCAAAATGTTGTCGGAAAGATGACTAAGAATATAAAGAAAAACAGTATACCATTTCCAAAATAGGTCCAGTCCGATCAAGAAAAAAGGATAAAAATGATGAGGATGGTAGTCCTTATTAAACTAAGATAACAAGGGATAGAATAGTAGGCTCCGATGTAATGTTTCATATTAATTCATTAAAATATGTAATTAATCTTTGTTTAAATTTAATGGTTGTGATTGGTTTCCAGGGTCATATAGACACTTTTATAATATTTTCCCATTACAATAGTCTAGCTAGATCATCAAGTGTGAGGAAGCTGGTTAGGCAGCCCACAAGTGTATATTTTCTATAGGGTATCTGTGCTATTTTTAGACGCCCATCACTCACCTTAGCTACTTGATAGTGAATATTCCAACCAATTAGTTGACTGTGTAAGGTGATAAATTGAAATATTAAGTAGTCAACAGCTGTTGCAAGACTTCAAATTCCTTGCTCAACACTAGATTTTAATTTTCTAAAATTTTTAATTAACTTTAAATTTTTTTATACTGACGGTTAATTTGCTTTTAAATCTGAACGGAAGGAGGTAAACTAGTAAAGTCATATATATTATTGAAGGGAATTTAATTTTCTACAACCCTATGCCCAGCATTTATTTTTTGGGTGCATAGTTTGAGAGGCAACTTGTCAAAAAGAAAAAAAACATGAGAAAAAAAATGTATTTTTCCAAATTTACAAACTTTTGATAGCAAATAACACGAAAACTATACAAAATATCGAAAAATAGTAAATTACAAACTTGCTGGAAATTTAATAAGCTTTCATTTTGTATATTAGCATAATTTCACTTGGACGCATGGTTTCCGAGATATTAGCGAAAAACCAAAAAATGGTACCTTCAAGCCCCCCCCTCCCCCATAGCACAAGGGCTAGAGGCGGGGACTTTTGGTATGTTAACCTCCTAACTATACTAAACAAAGTTACAAAGTCAGAAATTGTGTTCCAAACATTTCCCTCTATACCCTTTTTTTAGCATTCGTTGCCTGGACTATTTACCTACGACAAAGCTTATGGGAGAAAGTATGTGTCAGAATTTTGATACCGTTTATTTATTGTTATCACGCAAATAATGACATAGCAACCAATAAACCCATAAGGTCCATGTTAAATTTCTAAAAATGTAAATTCACGAAGAGAAAAGCCCTGTAGTCCGATTTGCACCATTTTAGATTTATACCTTCCCATAGTTGGTTGACTGTGCTAAAATTTCATGCAGATTGCTTCAGCCGTTCAGGAGGAGTATTTTGGAAACAAAAGCAGGAGACTAACACGTCATTATGCTAGCATCGAATATAGAATAAACAAACTATTCTATGATACTAGTTAACAATGTCTTTTCAAGCGCCTGGAAAAGGTGTTCTGCAAAACACACTCTTTAATGTATGCACTGCAGCGTCGTTCACGTTTCACCATAGATAAAACATAGTACATATATATTGTAACGAAGTGATCAAGCTACCCATAGAATTGTACCGTTTTCCCCCAGTTTTTTTCCCTCAGCACTTTTCCCTCAGCACTTTTCACTCAGGTAAATTCTCTCAGGACAATGTGCTGGGGAAGGAGCTCAGTACCAGGGCCCGGTACTGAGTACTTTCCCCCACCCTTTCGGGGTAAAATCCGTGTATATCAGGGAGGGAACTTAGGCAGATGTAACCTTAGGGTCCAGGGTTTATAGTCCCTGTTCGCACACACTGTTATCTCTGGTTTCACGTTACAAGTAGTGGACTATAGTAAATTGTATGCCGCATCTTAAAATGCAGTGATTAATTTTGCTTTGCTTTGACAGATATTGTATAAAATTCAAATTGAATTATGATTTTATTGTTTAACAGGTTTTATTTTGTGTATAAAATAGTTCAGAGCTACGCACAATTTAAAAATTTACGTGCGGCAAGCAAACCTTTTTGAAACTGAACCCAGGTTTAAAATGATAATAATTGATGTAGGTAATGCACCTTACTTCTCTGTGGCTACAAAGAATTGTAGGTTTTGATGGGCGAAATAAAAATAATGTAAGAAACAAATCTCAATGTTTATGAAAACCTTCCTATTTTATTAAACTCACCAATGGAAAATAGTGCATGTTTTTTTTAAATTAGATTTTATAAGTACCGGTACTAATAAATTACATTTTCACTACACTACTATGGAATCACCTGTTTTCGTTATATGCTATCACCTGCGAAAATTCATCATTACATTGTTTACTACGCAAAATAATGTTTAGGCCTACTATGCAAAAGTAATGTTTTCTATACTTTTAGATTTTGCCGACATAAACAAACAAACATTTGATGTTCTTCCATCAACTGTTAAAAATTAGCAACAACCTAAACTGTACAATCAATGTAAATTTGAACATCAAATAGTTGTAACCTAAAAAATGTCACCAGTTTTGAAAAGTTCCTAACCTAATGCAATGCTAATTTGTAGTGTAGCGAAAAGTAACGTTCTAAACACGAGTGAAAGTAGGTAATTTCATAGTATCATCGACCATATTTAAAGTGCTCGATAGATCTCACACTTTAAACAAATGGGCTCAGATATGAATAACTTTCTTTTCTACTCTTGTCATGAAATAGAAATACACCGAGTCCCAAAAAAAACTGAACAATTTTATTTACTTATAAAAAGTTTATTAACAATCACACGATAAACTAATTACATTTTAACTGACACAAATATTCCTAGGTTTTGTTTGATATCATATGTGTTAATGATTTTCAACATGGTTGCCATTGTTGGCAAAAAGATAGTTAATACGGCTGTCTAATTCAGCCCACACTCTATGGCGCATTTCGTCAGTAATGTTAGTAAAGGCTGCATTTATTCTTTGCCTCAATTCTCGGACATCGGAAACTTCTGTCTTATAAACTTATAATTTTGACAAATTTAACTCACATGCTGCACAGCGAACAGACTTTCGAGGGTCGTGAAGAAATAATTGTTGCACGTTTTCAATCAATTCATTTCGGATTTTCGGCCTACCTTTGCCTTTTAAATGTTGTAAGCTTCCAGTTAACATAAATTTGTCATACCAGGCTCGAATGCTGTTCCGTGATGGAGGACGTCGACCATAGCGTCTTCTAAATGTTCTTTGCACTGCAATATCTGACTTACTTTGAATGTACCACTCAACGCATTGCGCTTTTCTCTCGTGCGTTCATGGTGCCTGCTTTATGACAGGGCAATGTTTTTTAATTTCAAGTTTCAAGCGACAACAATGAATCAGCTGACAGTTACAATTGATATTGAACAAAACTTCATGAGCTCAGTTATCATATGATCACCTTCAATGTAGACTAGGTATGTCTGGACGTATTATATAACAATCTAAAATTGTTCAGGTCTTTTGGGACAAGGTGTATAATATTGTTACACCCGTATAGAAAATCAGTCCTTTTTGCATATGAAGCCTAAAAAGCGGAAAAAGTAAAGTGGATTCAGACTTAGCTTATTGGGTCTTACCATGCATCATTTATGTATATTATTAATAGCTACTCGACTGGTGAAAAATTCACTAAAGAGGGTACATAAAAATAACTATTAGACACGAATATGCATAGATAACATTGAATGAAAAACCACGAAAATACTTAGTTGAATACATCATAAGAATAATTTTAATACGTATTTTGTTTAGACTTTACTCGTTACCATAATGATAATGTTAGCAACTTACATTAAAACTGCGTAGAAAGTATTTAGAGAAGTAGACTAAGCTTAGAAAAAAACCCACTAGTGACTCAACAATTTACGTAAGAGCCCTTATCTTTGACATCGAAAACATATCTGATGGAAGCTAGGAAGCTACAGTTTAATTTTGACTCTTACAAATGACGTTTGGTTATTAGACAATATTACATTTATGATCTTGCACTATCTTTGTGATTTATAGTGCTGAGTATAGAGGTAGTGACAAAAACGTGAGTAAAATGGGATGAAAAGTGACCAAATATACGTGAGTAGATTGATTTAAAATCGCTCTCAAGAATGGCTTAAAAGTACAATTTTTAATCTGAAAATTGACATTGGCATACATATTGACTGTTATGATTGACCATCATAATCAATGCTATTATTCTATTCAATTAAACCAAACCGTTGAATCTAAATATTATTGAAAAGGGTCATTATGAGAGAACCCATTTTGAAAATTTAAAATTCTCGTAAAAACAGTTTTTTTCGTATTTAAGAAACGCTTTTGGTATCAAAAGAAAGCTTATAATGTCCTCTTCGGAGGCAAAACAAATTTTTGTCTTAACTCACGGTAGTTTTCTTTTACATAATTGTTTTATTGAAGCATGTCGTAGAAATCGCATTTCAGAAAAGGGACCTCTTGTCAACCCTATGTTATTTCTCCAAGAGATAAAAAAGGTACCTCTTGTCGGGACCACAAAATTGTTTAATTTTTTTTTTCTGCGTACGCTGAACTTTGTTGTAGGTCTCTAATTTTCCTCTAAAATGCAGGAAAATTAATTTTTTGGACCAAAGTCTGTTTTGTAGAGTGAATATTACTAGGAGTACAATGCAGTTGTCTGCTTGCAATATTGAGCGGAGCAAGCACATTAATCAATAATTTTGAAAAATGTAACGACTAATTTATTGTTTACGTCATAATTAGTTTTAATTTAATATATTAAGTTTTTATGATTTTTAGTTACTAAACAATTGACTAAACAGTACAAAAAAGCATTTATTTACATAATACAAGTTAAGAAAACATTCACACAGTTAAAAATACATGAACTCAAATCAAATCAAATCAATTTATAGGAATTTTGCAGAGTAATAAGTAATAATGAAATAATAAGAATAATAATAGTGTTCATTGCTGTATAAGTGAACGCAGACGTGCCAGTTCTCTACGTTTAGTTTCCCAACCCGCATTATTGTTGATACACTTGAGAAGGCGGTCTTGAGAAAAGCCTGGTTCAATTATAAGTCCTTCTATGGACCGAACCCGTGACATTGCAACATACGTAAGACCCAGGGCAAACTCTGTGGTACCAATGTCAACTACTGCTTTGTCAACTGTCATTCCCTGAGCCTTATGGACAGTAATACCATAGGCAACTTGCAAGGGAAACTGTCTTCTTGTACAGGACACGTTGTTTTTTCGGTATCCAACAGTGAGTGGTAATATCGGAAGAGAGCCATTAAAAGTTGGACCTTCGTATCCATCAAAATGGACCAAAATACAAATTGGAAAGTCGTCCATCGATCTATTCGGTCCATAGACAATATCAACAACATTCCCCAGACTGCCGTTGCACAAGCCTTGGGAGGTCCAGATGTTTTGGCGTAGTATTACGCGACAACCTTGAGATAGCTGCAGAGTTGCTTGTAGTCCTTGGGCTTCATCCTCTGATGCACCACATGCTGTTAAGTTGTTATGTTTTGCTTTTATTAAAGCAACAGGCTTGTTTGAAGACCGTAACATGAGTTGATTGTATTGATGTACGGCGTCGTTCCTTGCTTTTATTCGAATTGCGCTTGTGAAACTTTTTACTGTAGCAACGTTGTTTGATGAAAATCGTGTTTTAAGCAATTCATAGTCAGATAGAGTTAATTGGCCTAGAGCCATACGCTTTAAAGTTTCTCTGAAACAGTTCTGATCATCTCCAATTTGACGCATCACCTGCTTCAACTCAAATACTGTTTTGAACTGCTCAAAAAGAAATCTTCCTTCAATTGAAGAAACTTTTCTTGGGTCTGCTGGAGCTAGTAATGTGCGATCCAGAACTGGTGGCAACTGGTTGAAATCACCAAAAAAGTAGACAATACAACCACCAAAAGGTAATTCTTGACGATTAGTGAATGCTTGACGCAGACGTTTGTCTATCATGGAGAGCATTCGAGTGCCAACCATTGACATCTCATCGCAAATAATTACTTTGACAGTACGGAAATCTTCCTGTAATTGGCGCTCCGCCTTACCTGTAAGATCGGAAACAGTACCACCTCGTGTTTGGACTATATGTAGTGCGTTGTGTATTGTTTGTCCGTTTATATTATTGGCAGCCACACCTGTTGGCGCCATCAAAATAACACTTGAGCTACCATACAGGGATTCAATCATATGTACCATTTTATTTATAATAAATGACTTTCCGGTTCCAGCCCCCCCTTGCACGAGTGTAAGCTTTTCACTTGATTCATTCGCTAGTTGCTGTGCTAGGTGGTCCAGTATTTTCTGTTGACCCTCATTAGGCGATAACACATTATTAGAATGATCGTTTGTAATATTTACTTGTATTTCTTTCTGTTTCTGTATGAAATCTAAGTTCTCTTCTAGTCCAGGATATTTGTCATAAGTGCCAAACCCATTGTACTCTCGATCCATATCACGGTAACCTAGTATCACATCCTGAGGTGCTTGGTTGGGAAGTGTTCTTGCCAACTCCTGCCAGTCATGGTGGTCTTCTTCTGGTAGTACTACGTGGTCAGTATCGATGTCTTCAATTTCTGGTAGTTCCCACAATGAAAGGTTCCGTGAAGTAAAGGATTCTTTCCATGTTGTGTGTGTCTTTAAAGCTTCGCAGTTTCGCCATGCAATGTGCATCAGTAATTTTTGCTTGTAGTAAATTTCATCATTTTCTTCATTTATTCCAGGTTTTACTACCGGACGAAGCTGAAGGACACGTGATTTTCTGTGGTTGATAAGCCTACCACGAACAATCTTGTGCTTTGTGGCAAACTCGCATAACGTCATTGGCTCAAGTGTTGCTGATCTCATAGCATAGTGATCCATGATAGAAGTTTGTATAAACTCATCTGTATCTGTACTTGTATTTGCCACAGCAACATAGTCATCAGTAGAAATGTATAGCTTTACAAACTGCCTACTGGAATGGTACAGAGGATCGCCCGTGAGGAGATGCATGACTTCGCATGCTGAAATATCTCGTTGACCTATCACTTTAGTTAACATTTTGGTGAATGCCTTTTTTGCGTGATCATTGGGTGTACAGCTAGTCATGATTTCTTTGAAAAGTGTTTGAAAATCTTGTGACTGGGGTTCTCCTTTTGTCGCATATTTCGATATATAGTTTACAATAGCGTGTTCAGATGCTATGATCTTGCAATCAGTGTTTGCTCGCCACAGTTGGGACACAAAGGGGTTGTGGTCATTCAAGAGTTCATCATTACGCTTTGATTTATATTGCCAAACTCCTTGTTCGTCTCTTGACAATGTAGAGTCCAACAATTTTGGTTTTGGAAATTTAAAGCGACATTCTTGTGGATGTGAGGGATCTTTTAGACAGTAAACACTGTGTTGAGTGTGTCGCTGCACTCTGTTCAATAGTTGTGCAAAATGTATTGGATCTCCCAGAACTATATCAGTTGCCCAAACACTTGAAGGATGCTTTTCAGCTCTTGGTGCGTCTATTCCAGGGTTGTAAGCTGACACGATAGTGTCATAATATGCCTTATGAACTGCTAAATCATCAATTGATGCAGTATCGAATGTACGGACATCAGGCGCATTTTCAAGCCAAAGAACAGCATGAACGTGAGGACTACCGCGGTGTTGGTATTCAAAACGCCACCAAAAATCTGTTATCTTTAACTTTTCCTTCAATATGTCCATAAAAATGCAAACACGCTTTGAAAAGTACTCGTCTGCAATAAGTGGGTTTTCACTAAGTTTTTCTTGCATAACTTGGCTTGCTTGCTTCTCGGTAAGTAAATTTAATTCTTCAACAGATATACCAAAATGCCTCGCCAGACAACTCCACCAAAGGTCTGCTGCACTTAACGTAAGAAACAATGTTGGTACGCCCAGCTGATTAACCATTGACTGAAGCTCTAAACGTCGTTGGTACCAAAATGATGAAGTGCCACGGATTTTGGAACCCCATGTCAGCAAACGTTTTATTATTGACGGGTTTCTAGCTACTTCCACTTCTAACTGTGCTATATTACCACAAAAGTCATTTTTTTTTGCGAATATAGCACTCTGTCGACAGGCATCGTGTCTTTGCATCGTATTCAAGCAGAAAAATCGGAATCGAGGATCTTGAGAAAATCGTTTGTCTTCATATCTCATAAGAAACTCACACCACTCTCGAAATGAAACCTTGATGTTCCTAGTTAGGTCAAGGAAATCTGCAGCACCGTTTGGGAACAAATGGGGGAATGCTTGTGGAATATAACCGGAGTGTGTAAATTCATTGATGGGAATAGGTGAAGCTCTTGGCCATTTTATTTGGTTTATTATAGCGGATTCTTGACTTTGTCTCGGAATTAGTGGAACTGCTGTTTCTTCAATATGATCTTTGTCAAATGATTCATTAGATAAACCACCTTCGTCAATATATCTTAATTCATCAGCGACACTGTCATCCAATGGCAAAGACTCAATAACGTCCATATCTATATGAACATCAGCATAATATTGATTATGTGTTTGTAGCCAATGAAGTGCTTGTAGGACCTTTTGCTTCCTCACACGGAAATCGGAATAACCTGTTACTCCTGCGCGGCGTACAATCACAATCCCAAGGCGTGAAGGGGCGATTGGCAGCGATGTAGCGATATCAGTTATATCTTGTTCAACATTTATTACATGTCCTTTGTAATGATATTGACCTAATGATCTGCACGCTTTAAACTGGTATACCCGCATGACAGGGTGGATTCGAGCTATTAACATTTGTTCAATCATTGAAAGATTTTGGAGTTCTGCAGGAACGATTGATGGTTGCATGTTGTTTGTCGAAGAGAATTTTTCGGGATTTTTGATGCATGATGTACAAATGTAGTTATCATTGCTAACTATGTCCAAGCGTTTACAGATTGAGCATGGTTGATACGAAAGTTCATCCAAATTCTGCTTAAACCTCTGAGCATACTCTTCATCAGTTGTAGTCGCCCGCCAAACATGACGGGATGCGTTAACAGTGCGTCGCCCAAGATTGGCCCCACCTCTCCGTAAACGTGGCATTTGCCTGAGAAAACATACACATTTTGATAGTTAACTTGAAAACAACCCTCATAATTAAGCTAAATGAATCAAAATAGTAAATAAAATCAAAATATTAATTTCAAACAGTGTTTAGTAACAGTCAATCAGATATAATAATTGACAATTGGATACAGAAGTAGACATCCTACATTCCACCTATATGGACCAGCTTTTGCAAAAATATATTATTTTTTTTTAACGTAGTCGTGTGAGCCAGTCACAGAATGCGCTAGTATCTAAAATCCTATTTTCTAAATATTTTTTTATGAAATAGTTTATGAGTCATAACAGTTGTTGCTATAGCTCATATTGAGTCAATCCACCAGTTTGACAATCAAACAGGACTAATTTGCCAAAAACATTGTGTATTAGACAGAAATTATGTAGTAATTTAGATCAGCGCATAATTCAAGACAAACTTGATTAAAACAGGCAAAAACTTCTAACATGGCGATGTTTAATGGTCTACTTGTACCAATAGTTAAGGGTATAATAATTATAAGCTGTATAATAAGAATCAACATACAGAATAAAAGAAAAATTTAGCAATCCTTCATTAAAAAGTACACTTGGAGACAATAGCTTGTGTCTTGGCTCGATAAAACCATTTGCATAGACTCGAAGCTGTTTAATAGTAATCAATCGCTCTTTCTTTGATTATGTAAACTGTTAAAGTAATGTATAGCTGGCTTATAAACTTGACAAAATTATATGCTATTCTTGTAACCAAAATGTCGCACAGCTTAGTGGCCAATGTTAATATTACTATTTATTACATTTAAAAGTAAAACTTTCACGATTTCATAGTTAGGAAAAAAATTTAAATTGACTTGAGGATTGGACTTTTGAATGAGAGAAAACAGTAAGATAGGTGACACATTTTAAGTAGCCATAAACATACTTTATTAGTGGTATAAACCAGAATTCAGTTTCAGCAATATACCAATAGGCTTTGCCAAAAATATAGATATTAAGTTAATACCTATATGCTGTTATTTGTATGCTGTATCATTGTACACTAACTTGCATTAAGTTACATATATATATAATTTCTATTAAGTGGTATAAACCAGAATTCAGTTTCAGCAATATACCAATAGGCTTTGCCAAAAATATAGATATTAAGTTAATACCTATGCTGTTATTTATGCTGTATCATTGTACACTAAATTGCATTAAGTTACATATATATATAATTTCTATACTGCAAATGAATCATGGTAGGCCTATGTGAGACCTGTATTATAAAAGGTAATAACGATTATTATTATATTATTATTACCTCTTGTATGTAGAATTTCCTTTCCTCTATTTTTCTTCAATGTCTTCTTGGTATTAAAACAAAATCAAACTCACCAATTCAATTACTGTACCTCAATTTAACTGTTAACATTGTTGTGAGGGGTTGGGGTTAGCCACGGGGATCGTGGAAATAGTTTTAACACATGTTTAAAAGCATTGTTGGTTGCCGCGCCAGTTACTGGGATTGCGGAACAGAAATGTCCTGTCGACACCGTTGATTAAACAGCGTTGGTGGTGTAGTGGTTAAAATACCCGACTGACGATCGTGAGATCCCGGGTTCGAAACTCGTCGGCGGTGATAACTTTTTGCTTCCGATTTTGTTAGAATATAATTTTCCCTTAACTTCACTAATTAGTTTTTTTTTATCTGAACCATTTATAATTTAATTTGGGGATTAGAATGCATTTTTTATAAATACAATAACTTTATGTTTGTAATCATTTCCTAACAGCAAATAATTGATATAGGCTAATCGATTATTTAAATTATCAATTCGTTTAAGTATAGGCCTATAACTTAGGTCTAGTTTTATTTTAGCAGTTAAAAGTAAGAAATATATCGTCGACCACTTTCAAAATTTCCCTTTTGTGCAATAAAATGTAGGCCTATCAATACGACTATGAAGTAGACTAAAAATAATAAGTGAAAACTTTAGGAATTGGTTTACGTTACATTACATTTGTAATAAAACATCAAAATAAGCAGTTTGCTTAACCCTAAACCTTATTTTTCCTAGTATCTGGTACCTATATATTTTTCAACTTAAATTTAGACTACTATATGGCAATGTTTAAAAACTATTTTGTTAATTAGTATCGCAGGGTAAAGCGGAGGTGGTAGAAAATAGGTCTACCGGTTGGCCTATTTTGGTTAAACGACGATGTTAAATATCTTGTCATGAATTTGACAGAGGAGCAAAGTAGGCCTAATTCAATTGGTGATTAATTTTTGTCGAAGTGCACACGGCAATATTAGTTAATCCTTTGGGATTTTATTGTCTAAGTTACACCATTTAGTTTTAAATCTTACCGGTAAACCAAGTGGTTGTGATTTCATTTCGCAAAATGATTTTGTATTTTTAGCTACATTACATTTTTTATAAATTTACTTTCAAATCAAGGGCGGTGTGATATTTGTTATTACATAATTATATGTTGTAGTGTTTTTAATAACCTCGTTTTATATTCTCCTTCTCCACACAACATAGGCTTAGGCCTAATTAGTTGACTATTCATTGTTGTTAAAAAGAACAGAACGATTATAAAATTAAATAAAAACGGCATGAATATAATCACTCAATATAGAACTGATTGTTAATAAATTTCGTATTACATGCAATAGACTAATATGCACTTTAGTATTTATCCGACTTTTTCCTTTGTACTGTATTTACAATGTGTTAGATTTGTTTACTAACATATGTCGAGGCTCTTGTTTACTTTTTAGTGTTGACTCGCAAATAATGTCATGGCAACCAATTAACCCATAAGGCCCATGTTAAATTTCGAAAAGTTTGCATTCATGTAGGGAAAATTCCTATGGTCCGATTTGTACCATTTCAGATTTATACCTTTCCATGGTTGGTTACTATGACTGTGTTAAATTTCGTGAAGATCGCTTCAGCCGTTCAGGAGAAGTATTTGTAATAAAAAAGCAGGAGTGTAGTATAAGAGCTTCGCTCGCTCCGCTCAATAAATATTATTGAAAAGGGTCATTTTGAGAGAACCCATTTTGAAAATTTAAAATTCTCGTAAAAACAGTTTTTTTCGTATTTAAGAAACGCTTTTGGTATCAAAAGAAAGCTTATAATGTCCTCTTCGGAGGCAAAACAAATTTTTGTCTTAACTCACGGTAGTTTTCTTTTACATAATTGTTTTATTGAAGCATGTCGTAGAAATCGCATTTCAGAAAAGGGACCTCTTGTCAACCCTATGTTATTTCTCCAAGAGATAAAAAAGGTACCTCTTGTCGGGACCACAAAATTGTTTAATTTTTTTTTTCTGCGTACACTGAACTTTGTTGTAGGTCTCTAATTTTCCTCTAAAATGCAGGAAAATTAATTTTTTGGACCAAAGTCTGTTTTGTAGAGTGAATATTATAAATGCGACCTCTTGTCGTTATGGCGAAATAACATTGAGCGACAAGAGGTACCTTTTCTCAGAGGCAGAGGCTAACATAATGATTTTTGTATACCTTTTATGTCTTCAATTCGATATTTTAACCGATACGGTCCTGTTCTATGATAAATGAGGTAATCGATAAAAACCCGAATTTCGATATTTTCGACCTTAATTATCGCCGTACTGAAAATTTTGCATCGCCGACAAGAGGTCCCTTTTTGCTTTCCACATCACCTATAGTCTAGTCTGTGGTTGAGTCGAGTCCACGTTGCAACCTGCGTTTCAAAATGTAAAATGTATGGCTGGCCTATTGTTTTTTCTATAATTTCACCATGCATGGTAGGTTATGTTTCTATGTGTTCGTGTATGCTGACGAAGACATTTATCGGATGTTATACACGACTGTCTCCGATTTTATAGGGTTTTTATTCATAATAGGTCTTATGACTCGAAACTAAGTTATCATTTGTTGACTCTTTACCTTTATTTTTAATACCTTTATTTATACCCTGCATCAAATTGCTGACCAGTGATGACTAGATCGATGGATTTCGTCTAAAATTTTAATACTCCAGAGTACATATTAAAATCGGTTATATCATGGCTGTAGTTCATTAGGTCTATTCATCACTTTCATCTGTGAAACATTCTTTGACGGAGTACAGAGGTCATGCTTTCCAATAGTTCCTCAATTTTCTATTTAACATTCTTAGTATAATGCCTCTTGTGCTAGATGTTATGGGCTAGTCATCATAGAAGCCGTTTCAATTAATTAATAAATTACCACGGAACCTACGGTAATAGCATTCCCCATACATGGGAAATTCGCTAAAATGGTGTAAATGGAAAATAATAAACAAATAAACTGCAGACTTCTTCTGTAAGTACAGTACTTACTAAGCGAGGAACGACCACACCTCATAATCAATGACTAATATATATATATATATATAATATATAAATTATAGGCTCAATGTTATAAC